AATAACACTTTTAAAGTTAAAATGAAACTGGTACCTATTCTCTGTTAGGTACCTATTCAGGTACCTAACAGCATTTTAAATATAAACAATTCTTTAGAAAAGGGTCATAGGAATTCTTGTCCAAAAAGCAAATCTAAAAGAAAGAAAAGGCTACCAACAGAAGGCTCTCAGAAATCTCATTTATCACGATGTGTTACCCCCATCAGAAGGTAAGATCCTAAAGAGCAGGGACCTTGTGGGTTAGCAGTGAGCCCCCAGTGCTTGGAGCAGCACCCAGGAATGAAGAGGTACCCAATAAACTTTTGTAAAACAGATGAATGAATAAACACAGTGAACTGTAATCAAACTCTATTACACAACTCATTTTATACAAAGTTGAAGTAACAATGTGGAAAAACTATCATAATTATAATATATTGCAGGCATATAAACATAAGCAGAAACAAGGAATAGAAGAAACTATGCAAAAATTAAACACATGGGGGGTGGGCTGAGAGATGGTGTAAGAATTAAAGGGATAACATTTAAGTTATATAATAGCACCACAGTGTTTTTCAACTGAGTAATTAGGTAAAGAATTTTAGTATCTATTTTTACTTTGCCATCTTCCTCTCTAACAAATGTTTCTACATATCTCTTCATAGTTCTTTTCTGCCTCTTATAGCCCATCTGGAAAAACAAAAAAACAAAAAAAAAACCCTAACATTCCCTAAGGCATTTCTCCTACTCAGAAGCTACTTCAAGTTAGTTTCAACAATCTGCTAATAAATGAAAGGGAAAGAAAGAGATTTAAAAAAAGTAAATCTTTGAACTGAGCAACTGAGAAAGTGAAAAGTCCATGTTAATTGCATAGAGTTTAGACCTGCCAGTGTACTGTTGAGAAAGTGCAGATTGGCATCTTCCTTTCTGTTATCATGCCACTTTTCTTAAAAAATAAAGAATTTCAAAAATAAGACCATAATTATGATAGTCTATTCTAATAGCTATTTCAACTTAGAAAATATAAGTTCTTCATTCAGTAGAAGGGATAGATCCAGAAAAAAAATGAAAGTAGTACTGCAAATATATCTGTACGGATGCTTGACATGGAATATTAAGGACACCTATTGGAAGTAAAGGAAAAGCACTAGAAAAGATAAACGATAATCCACAAAGTTAGAGTAAATTTCCAGACATACACACAGAGTTAAAGGAACTTATGGGAAATAACATTTTCAAATTGTTTTTCAAATATTTTCCTGTATGCTGATTTTGCAAATGGAGTTTTAATTTTTCCAATAGATCACACTCTGGTAACAAAAGTTTGTATGCAGAAAAAGGAATTAAGCAGTTACCATATAATTTATAAGCTGAAAAATTTTAATTTTATATAAAAATTGAGATTGTAGGAAAAAAACCCAAAACAGTAGCTATAGTTTAGAACCATACACAAGTTATTAGTAGTAGTTCTTCAAAACTATTTAAAAACTTACCACTAAAAAATGATTTTCTTAAATTTCCACTTAAACATTTGCACATTTCAAAGTGTTTGATCAGGAAAAAGACACATTTCCAAGTGAAAGTTAACCTCCAAAAGAGGTATAGCAACCCCAAGATTAGGGATGATGAACTAAAAGCAGCACTCAGTGCTGTCACAGGAGATCTTTACACATTTTCCATCTCCAGAAATATCTCGTTTCTTTGGCTGGATGCTTATCATTTTTCAAGAAGAAAAACCCGTAAAGCAGTGATTTACTGTGTGTGGTTTTTGCATCAGCAGTCACTGAGTCAACTGGGATGCTTTATAGGAATACAGATTCAAACCCCTGTCCCCAGAAATAAGTCAATGGGTCTGGAATGAGCCCAGATATCTGGAATTTTAACATGCAACTTAAATAATGGCCTTAGAGATAGTAATCCAACTCTCTTCTTCACATGATGCCATTCAAACTGGAAGAGATTAGCTTAATTATCTGAGCCAATCAGTAGCAGAGCAAGAATGAAAACCCAGAACGGCTGTAGCCCAGTCCAATCTTCTTTGCTCTAAATAAGCTTCCAATCTTCCATTTTAATAACTCTTCAACACATTCTGTAGCAGCTACCCTTCCACCTCTATCCACTGTTTGTTTACTTCCTCTGGAGAAAGTTCCAAAGTAAACTAGTAAAACTATGTATAAATAGAGGCAAGAAAAATGAAAATAGTTCATATGTGAGGGGGATGTAGGTCAGTTTTATTTTTTATTTTATTTATACTGTAAGTTATGTGGGTGATAAAAATCACTATTTTAATTTTTTTTAAACTAAGCTTTGATTCTTGGACTTAAATTAGATGTAATACAAATTAAGATACAGAGATTCAAATCTAACATCTCTTACATTTTTACGATTAGTTTTTTTTCTATCATTTAAAAAAAACATAAGATTACTTCAGTGTTGTGTGTATAAAGCTTTTAGAAGGGACATCTAACTATTTTACTATCTTTTAGTGCTTTTCCTAAAACACTAGATTAAAGCCCTCTGCATTCAGAAGGACTCCTTATTTAGCCTGTCACCCAAGTTCTTTCCACAGTCTGCTCAACCACGTAAGAAAACCCACGAGCAACTTTCCTCTGGAGAGAAAGACATATACCAGGATGTAAAAATAGATGAAACTGGAATGGTATGTCAGGGCCTAAACATGAAGGGCCTTCCTTAATTTATCCATCTGGTCTTGAGCCAACTAATTAATTCTGTAAGACTTGACTCAAGACCAAGTGCCTTAAGACCTGGCTCTATATAATACGATGCAATTTTTTTTTAAGACCGCATATACAAACAATGGTGTGCACTTTTTAAAGGCGCACATATGGGCATGTTAAAGCATTGAAAACAGACTCGAAATATACATTCATCAAAAATAGGTTTACTTCTCAAAAGATGAGGAGGGGTCCAGCATAAATGCTTTAATTTTTAAGGAGATAATATTGATTAGGTGTATATGGAAGTGTTTCTAATTCCCAGACTTCACTAGATGCCCTTTTTGCCCTTCTCTGTAACTTCTGCACAAGTCTAATAAAGTACTGAGCTCACCATCCACCATAAATGCTGACTTGTCTGACTTTTCCTCCTGGAAGGTAAGACGTGTTCTCCTCAGTAAACACATCATTTTTAGAGTGTCTGACATGGTATACAATGTTTACTGAATGCACACTCTGAACCTCCTAGGCAACTAAGTTATTCAAGGAAAGAATTCTTAGTCTATTTCTAAAAGGTCACAAGCCAGAAATTTTCTTTTCAACATACACTTTAAAAAGACACTTTGATACAGTGGCTAAGAAGCTAGGCTTAGAGTTATAAAGTTCTTGTTTTAAATTAAACTCTGCATGATGAACTGTAATCCTTAAACAAGTTACTTAATTGTCATTCTCCTCATCTATAAAACATGGATAAGAATATCTTCCTCCTACCTTTGTGGGGAAGATTAAAAGGGAATGTTTATAAATTAATTAGCACAGTACCTGGTACCCAACATATGGTGGTCATTATTATGCTCTTCAAGCTCAATTATTATTAAAGCAAGAGTTTCTTATAATTTTTTGCTAACCAGAAAGTATTAACAAAACTTTAAAAATATATACTTTTAGAGGATAACATAAACCCAGATAATCTAGCTAACGTCAATAATGAAACTAGTAATTGGAAGTCCACCAGGTCTGTGCAAGTAAAAAATGAATACCTCAATTAATTTGGCAGAGTAACTTCCATTCTGATACATGCAAATTTTGCATTTTTAACCTTATTCCAATTTTTTTTTAAGTTTGAAGCATCTTCACAGACTGAAAATGTTCATATTCAATTCATACACATTATTAAGCTGTACATCACCACCCTTCTTGAGGAACATGCTAACTCTCCATGTTATTAATATGCCAACAGTGCTCAATGATGCCTTCCACAGTTAATTGGCTAAGAAATCTTATCCTTAAAAATGTAATTAATAAATCCACACTGAAGTTCAGAGGATGCCTAGGATAAAGATCTATAGTTAATTTTTTTGAAACTACTGTTTGTTTTGAGTTGCTATCTCTATCTTCTGTAATGAAAAATGTCAGCATTTATATTTCACTTTATCGTAACCCATGATAATTTATCACAAAGTAAGTTCATGTTAGATTGGATATCCAAAACACACTGCTTAATTCCACAAATAATGACTAAGTATCTAATACATTCTAGGCTGAAAGATTAAAAATTCATTCCTAAAAAGGGGTAAGAAAATAATTTTCTTATACATATTAAAAACCAGGTATGTTAGAGAAAAAGAAGTCTATAGAATCAAATGAAATTAACAGAATTTGTTAAAACTAACATCAGTCTCCTCAAAACATTTAAATTCTCTACTGAGTCCTTTGATGTTAACAAATTTAATATCCCAACAATCTATCTTATTTATATATGTGATGTGTGTGTGTATGCATGCGTGTGAATGTGTGTATATCAATCACTTGTCTCTTGTGAATTATCTCCTCGGCAAGCAACGTAACTACTCCAAAAAAACCGACAAAAACAAAACCAAAAAAAAAACCCAAATCCTGTAAACTGAAGAAAATATGTTACCTGTGCCTACTCTATAATTTTCTGTCACAAAACAAAAGAAATAACAACAGGCGCAGAACGAGGTCTAGTCAACAACGGCTGTAATGGTTAATTGGTTCTTAATTATTCTCTCACGTAGTTTTGTAATGTTACTTCAGCTAAGAATACTTTTCAAAAATTAATTTTCATGATTCTATTTCCTCAGTTCCTTCAAAGGGTGATGTCCAGTCTCAAATTTGATGTAGATTACCTTCCTGATTCTGGTGGAACTGAGAAAATTCGACAGAGCAACTCTTTGTTATATTTAGTGGAGTACAGAAGGCAAAAGCAAAACTCTATCAGTAAAACGTGAATAAGTCTAACAAACAAAGCACTGTTGTTAATGTAGCTTTGTCACGTTTGTAATGTAAGGAACCACAATTTGCAATCACTGTAACATAGCTCACCTGTTCATTTTTGCAAAGCCACACACTGTTTCCACTTAACACAGTAAAAATTTTAGCTTTATAGCCTCTCAGTTCAAGATATCCACATTTCTCAGGTGTAACAGCTCCTTGAGACTGCGAGGAAAGGGCCTGTAACTTCAGGGCATTTAACAGGATGCTGATCCAGTCATTTCTCTCCTCTGAAAATAGACAGGAGAAAATACATATGTTTAGTAAGTTATAAACACATACAAATGTGGAAAGAGATTGACTTTCTCTGGAACAGATCATGTACAGATTCTTTCCCAGAACCACAATCTAAATGCTACTGTCGGCAGGGCAAATGGCCCAATTTTGTTAGGGAAAATAAGTAACACTTATTAGTCATTCCTTGGTATCCACAGGAGATTGGTCCCAGGACCCACAGCGGGTACCAAGCTCTGTAGATGCTGAAGTTCCTTACAGTCAGTCAGCCCTCTGCATCCTCAGGTTCATCAATGAGGGTTCCACCAATCAGGGATCAAAAATGTCCTCAGATATGGAAATCAAGGATATGGAGGGCCGACTGTACTCAGATGTCCTGTAACCAATATCACTGGCTTCAACTGGCAGCTAAATAGAAATGCAAGATCCTAGACCCCCCTCCAGACTTGATGAATCAGAATCTTCAATTTAAGAAGATCTCTAGATGATGTGTATCCATGTTAACGTCTAAGTAGCATTCTGTTAGATTATTCATAAGATTGGATTGTCTCTTTTAATATAAGAAAGTAATATGGCTACTGAACAGGTAACAGATTGTACCCAGCAATGCAGTTACTAAAATATCCAGAAAAGCTTACTTTTTAACAGGCACTTGGAATCTACTCAAGAGTGTGCTTGCCTTGATATTCACTCACCCATTCCATTCACTAACAATAGCATCTTCATCTGTTGAATTAAAACTTAGTTCTCTCACTCTTTCCACAAAGTGATCTTCAACTATGTACAACACATTGTGTTACAGGCATAGGAATTCAATCCAGTCCCCAAAGAGCAATCAAAGCTATAAGTCAAGTTTGATATGAACACATAATGGAACACAGAATACTACAAATGTCATGCAAGAGGTATCAAATAATGTATGAGTCAATTCAATGGAGGTAAGTGATTTGCTGAAGGTCATATAGCACGTGAGTATTAAAATTAGGAGAATCAAATGTTTTAATTCTCAGACAATTGTCCTCGGCACTATGAGAAAAAAAAAAAAGGATATTTGTGCAAGCTCTTGAGGATGTGGAGCAATTTAAAAGACAAAACTGGAGTTTTGGGAGGAGGATGAGCAAAACAGAATTCTAAGCACAAGACCAAAGGCGGAAACAACAAACATCTGCTCAGGGACTAATTTATGAATGAGCATATTTATAATTCTGAACTCACAAAGAAATAATGGGAAATAGGGCTGGAGATCCTACAGTGCCTAGGAGAGGAATTTAGTCTTTATTATGGAGGCAAAAGAAAACCATTTCAAAATTCTTGGCAAGAAATGGACATGATTAAGATGACAGACCAAACTGGAAGCTTGGAGGTCAGGAATAAGGCAATAGAGTCTTAAAGTATACAATGAAAAGGGAAACATATGGAGAGTCAAGATATTAAGGAGAGTAAAAAATAGCCGTGGTTTTGAATATGTTTGACACATGTTCACCAAAAAATGAATAAATTACTCAGAATAAAAGGTAGCTGGGTATCATGAGTCAACCAAAGAAGGTAGAAGGTTGTATTAACAGAACCACCTGAGGTTTTTAGCTCCCTGGCATGAGCATCCAGGCAGACTGATAGCAATATGTGAATGAAGGTAACCTATACAAGGGAAGACTCATGACAGTGGATAAATGTTTAATGTAAAAGGAGAAGAAATGGTATACACCTGAGGTATAACTGATTCTAGGAGGCTAGAAAATGGGCCAGCAAAAAACAAATGGAAAAGTGATTATTAAGGTAAAAAGGAAAAAAAACAAAACAGGCTAAATTCCAGGTAGGAAACTTTTTTGAGAAGGAAAGAGTAAGTAGGACCCAAGCTTGGGAAATTGCCTAGTATCTCAGATCCTTCTAAGACAGGTCTGGTTAGAGGTGATGTCATTGTGGATTGAAATAAGTCTCCATATTAGACTTGCTTACATTCCAGCATGGATCCAGAGTTATTTTACAATACAAGTCTTAATTTTTAAAGTATCTTCATTCTTTCTCACCTTCAAAACTACTAAAACCAGCTAGTTGTGTCTTTAATGACCAAGGCCAAAGTATTTATTAAAAACTCATTCAACAATATTTTATTGCAGGTATTACATAATCCTCAATAACAGTGTTTGTTCCTATATACCAAGTTTCCCCAGCATTATTATAAAGTAAAAGACATGAAAATATTCAGGTAACTAAGCCTATGTCAATACACAGTAGCTACTCTACATTTTACATCTACACAGACTGCACTGTAATAATTTATTACATTTTCAGTAACAGCAAAAGACCTTCCACTCTACTTGGTGATTACTTGTGATCATTAAGTCCACACAAGATATTCCTGCCAAGTAAATGGTATATAATGTTTTCTGTTTGTTTATGTTAATCCATATAAATCACTGACTTTGAAATGCAGGTCATAATTTAATGAACGGGGCCAAAGTGATTGTGGTTTCTTTGTCAGGAAATAATTTGAAACTGGCTATTGCATTAACTGTTGGACTTAAGTATATTATGGCTGTATCTCAACAAATGGTGCCCTTATAGCCTAGAAGAATTCTCTAGCTCCTGAGGGCCTCATTTACTAATAGGAAGTACACAGTCATGAAGAAGAACAGAATTGAATAGTAACATTCAGTTTATATTTAATTACCCATACCAATGGAGATAAACAGTGATACAGACAATTCAAACACAATGAAAGAGATTACAGGTGTCATTGGTATTTGGCTTTGCAAAGTGTGCATACTTGAACATGGGGAACATGCTCTGACAAGTCACAATATTCCAAAACAAATAATGATTTCCCCTTGGGCAAAGGCAAAGCTGGATACTAAGCTGGCTTTTGCCTGCTCTTCACACTAAGATACTTTTATTCTTTCCAATAACAAGTGTTTATTGAGCATCTATTTTGATCTTAGCACTGTGCTAAGCACTATTCCCTCTGAGAATACACTCTGATGTTGATATATCTTTGCTCAGAGTAGAGTATTCCAGGTTGGAAAAAGAAAAAAAGGAGTTAGCAATGTCCTCAAACCTCAAATTATTTCTTAAGGTTTTCAGGAATGCCAACTCAGAGTGTACAAATCAAAAAAAAAGAGGTTAAAAAAATGAACAGGAGAGACTTAACATCCTCTGGACTACTGGATTTAGCACTAGGCATATTCATTAGTAAAAAAGGATTGATTATATGAGGGGTTACTACACAAGTGCCATGTAAAACATTAATAAAAGAATCTAACAAAGTTTGGATGTACTCTTAACTTTTGATATAATATAATCTAACTAAAGATTCCTCAGTGTAACCCATGATCAATATTAGAGAAGGAATTATTACACACCAGTGTTGTTCTTGAAATTGATAATGATTCATTCATACAAATGTCTACTGAGTGCCTACTATGCTCTAAGCCCTATTCTGAATACCAGCCTTACTCTCCAGAAACTTACACTCTTGTGAAAGGAGGAAGGCAATAAAATGTAGACATATATTACACGGCGACAAGTGCAATGGGATAAAATAAAGCACAGGATGAGGGGTACAGAAAGTGCTATTTTATATAGGGTAATAGAAAAAGGCTCAGAAAGAAGGTGGTGGCTAAGCAAAAGCCTAAAGGAAGTGGAAGTGATGGAGCAAGTTAGGAGGAGGACTGGAGGAAGAGCCTTCCAGGATACAGAAAGCAGAAAGTGCCAAGGCCAAGGCAACAGCAGATTTGGCATGCTCGCGGGACAAGAGACCCCTGTAGCTGCAAGGCAGTGAATGAGGTAGAGCACAGAAGGAAACAAGGACAGAGAGACCAGGGTCAGATCATGCATGGACTCTGGAAATCACAGTACTTTACTCTCAGTGAGCTGGAAACATGACAGAGCATCTGAAATAAACTGACAGGACCTGACTTTCTTGTTGAAGGATCACTCTGACAACCATACTGAAAATATGCCTGCAGTCGATCAAGGGAGGTTGTGACAATCATCAAGATAGACATGGTGGCTTGTAGGAGAGTGACGGTGGTGGAGGTGCTGACAATTGGTCAGAACCCCGACATATTTCCAAAATCAAACTGGTAAGATTTGCTGATGGCCTGGATGGGACCGAGGTAGGAAAAAAGATTCGATGATGATGCCAAAGTTTGTGGCCTATTAAATTATGATAGGCAATCAAAGTACACAACAGAGAACTTTCAACTCCCCTGGCTCTTCCTCCAGATAGCAAATGTTCCATGCCTTGCTCCTTTTTTTTTTAAATAAGTTTATTTATTTATCTTCGGCTGCGTTGGGTCTTCCTTGCTGTGCGCGGGCTTTCTCTAGTTGGGGCGAGTGGGAGCTACTCTTCTGTTTTGTAGATAGGTTCACTTGTGCCATACTTTAAATTCCACATATAAGTGATATATGGTATTTGTCTTTCTCTTTCTGACTTACTTCACTTAGTATGATAATCTCTAGTTGCATTCATGTTGCTGCAAATGGCACTATTTTGTTCTTTTTTATGGCTGAGTAGTATTCCATTGTATATCTGTACCACATCTTTTTATGCATTCATTGGTTGATAGACATTTAGGTTGTTTCCATGTTTTGGCCATTGTGAATAGTGCTGCTATGAACATTGGGGTGCATGTATCTTTTTGAGTTATAGTTTTGTCCAGGTATATGCCCAGGAGTGGGATTGTTGGATCATGTGGTAATTCTATTTTTACTTTTCTGAGGAACCTCCATACTGTTTTACGTACTGTCTACACCAACTTACATTCCCACCAACAGTGTAGAAGGGTGCCCTTTTCTCCACACCCTCTCCAGCATTTGTTATCTATAGACTTTTTAATGATGGCCATTCTGACCAATGTGAGGTGTACCTCATTATAGTTTTGACTTGCATTTCTCTAATAATTAGTGACGTTGAACATCTTTTCATGTGCCTACTGGCCATCTGTATGTATTCTTTGGAAAAATGTCCATTAAGGTCTTCTGCCCATTTTTTGAA